GAAGGCGTCCAACATGGTCAGAAGGCGTCCAACATACTACTGAGGAGGAGCGGAGGACAAGTACAAGTAGCCCCAGAGCTAATGAAGTGGTTGGGCCAAAGCCGAAAGGACGCTCAGCTGTGGATGTGCCTGGAAGTGAAAGGAAAGTCCGATGCTGCAAAGAAAAATACTGCATAGGAACCTGGAATGTAAGATCTATGAACCTTGGGAAGCTGGAGGTGGTCAAACAGGAGATGGCAAGAATAAACATTGACATCCTGGGCGTCAGTGAACTAAAAAGGACAAGAATGGGCAAATTCAATTCAGATGTCTATCATATCTACTATTGTGGGCAAGAACCCCATAGAAGGAAGGGAGTAGCCCTCAAAGTCAACAAAAGAGTGGGAAAAGTTGTAGTGGGATATAATCTCAAAAATGATAGAAAGATTTCAATATGAATCCAAGGCAGACCTTTCAATATCACAATAATCCAAGTTTATGCACCAACCACCGATGCTGAAGAGGCTGAAATTGACCAATTCTATGAAGACTTACAACACCTTCATCTTCATTGTTCCTTCATGTCTTTCTAAAATCTTCCTTTCAGTTCAGCAGCCACCTTTTTTGGATCTTAACCAACAATTCACTCAGTCCTGCTATTCCTAAAGATACAAGAAATCTTTTCCCCTCTGCTGCCACATCCTCTTTTCATCTTGGCTTTGAATGATCTCAGGTTCTCCGTCCTATTATTGCCCTCCAGTCACTTCATCCAATCCTCACCCTTCCTTTTCTGAGTTTTCTGCCTCAAACCACCACTCTCTCTGTACTCCTTCCTTCAGCTTCTCCTTTTTTTTTTACACTATCTACCTGAACCCCCACATTCAAAACAGTCACATTCAAAATGTCAACCTTCTGCTACCCCACTGATTAAACATTCCAAAGCAATCACACTTGATAGAATCTTCTGAAACCTACCAATCACCCAACTGGAACTCATCTATCTGTATATTTTGTGCAAAGATGGACATGATAAAGGACAAAAATTGAAGGGACTTAACAGAAGCAGAAGACATCAAGAAGAAGTTGCAAGAATACACAGAGGAATTATACCATAAAGATTTGGATATCCCGGACAACCCAGATAGTGTGGTTGCTGACCTTGAGCCAGACATCCTGGAGAGTGAAGTCAAGTGGGCCTTAGAAAGCATGGCTAACAACGCCAGTGGAGGTGATGGCATTCAAGTTGCACGATTTAAAATCTTAAAAGATGGCGCTGTTAAGGTGCTACACTCCATATGCCAGCAAGTTTGGAAAACTCAGCAGTGGCCATAGAGGATTGGAAAAGATCAGTGTACATCCCAATCCCAAAGAAAGGCAGTGCCAAAGAATGCTCCAACCACCATACAATTGCACTCATTTCAAACCTTAGCAAGGTTATGCTCAAAATCCTACCAGGTAGGCTTCAGCAGTATTTGGACCAAGAACTCCCAGAATTACAAGCTGGATTCTGAAGGGGCAGAGGAACTAGAGACCAAATTGCTAACATGCGCTCGATTATGGAGAAAGCCAGAAAGTTCCAGAAAAACATCTACTTCTGCTTTATTGACTATGCAAAAGCCTTTGACTGTGTGGACCACAGCAATCTATAGCAAGTCCTGAAAGAAATGGGATTGCCTGATCACCTTATCTATCTCCTGAGAAACCTATACGTGGGACAGGAAGCAGCAGTTAGAACTGGATATGGAACAACTGATTGGTTCAAAACTGGCTTATTTAAGTTACAGGAAGGAATTAAGGAACCTTGTAATGAAGGTGAAAGAGGAGAGTGCAAAAAACGGGCTGAAGCTCAACATCAAAAAAAATAAGATCATGGCCACTGGTCTCATCACCTCCTGGCAAATAGTATGGAACAACTGATTGGTTCAAAACTGGCTTATTTAAGTTACAGGAAGGAATTAAGGAACCTTGTAATGAAGGTGAAAGAGGAGAGTGCAAAAAACGGGCTGAAGCTCAACATCAAAAAAAAATATTAAGATCATGGCCGCTGGTCTCATTACCTCCTGGCAAATAGAAAGGGAAGATATGGAGGCAGTTACAGATTTTACTTTTTTGGGTTCCATGGTGACTGCAGATTGTGACAGCAGCCACAAAATTAAAAAAACGCCTGCTTCTTGGGAGGAAAGCAATGACAAATCTAGACATTATCTTAAAAAGCGAGACATCACCTTGCCAACAAAGGTCCGCATAGTCAAAGCTATGGTTTTTGCAGTAGTGATATATGGAATCGAGAGCCGGCCCATAAAGGCAGCTGAGCGCCAAAGAATTGATGCTTTTGAATTGTGGTGCTGTAACCATTCAAGCAGGCTTATCTCCGATCTCTTAAAGTAGGAGTGCCTGAACCAAGGAAAATAGCAGGAAGAGATGGCTGACGATGATGGTACAGTTTAAGGTTTGGCTGTGGGGTGGGGGGGTAGCAGGGGGTAGCGCTCTGCTTGTGTGCCAAGGGAGACGTCTCCATGTGCCACAGGTGGCACATGTGCCATAGGTTCGCCATCACTGGGATAGCCTATGGACATAACTGTCTTTTTCTCTTTTGTTCCTTCTTTTTGCAAGATGGACCTGCAACAAGCTAAGAAAGAAGCTATTTCTAAACCATTTTATAACTAATTTTAATACTTTTAAAAATTTATCAAACAACTGCATACACAGATACCCCCTCTTTGTAGATGTCCATGATGTACTCGCAGACATGTGGAGGAGAGGTTGTTTGGCACATACAGCACCAGAGGCAGAACTACGTACTCTGTGTGCCTGCATTTATTTATTACAATAAGAGATTTTTATACCATCTAACACTAAAGTAATCCTTAGATCCACGAATGTTATGCCATCTATGGTTACTGTATTTCCAAAAAAGTCACCAGAATCTATATCACATGCCTGTACCCATGGATTGTGAATATTGCAGCTGCACTCGGTGTCTCAAAGAAGGAAATAAAAAATAATTACAGATTTAGATTATATTTTTGCAGTGATCAGCAAGTAATCATAAAATGATTGCAAGTTGCTTTCAGGCACTCAGACACAGTCCCATTCTCACAGCAAGAGTAGGAGCAGCTTGCAGTAGTTGCAGTGACGATCATATTTTCCCAGCAACAAAATATTGCCATTTGGACACTGAGAGTATCTGATATCCCTGCACTAGAAACACTATCTTAAAGGAGGGCTGCTGAATCCCATTTCATGTCTTTTGAGTTGGAGCCAAAGAATTTCAGGAGGGAAACAAGATTCCTAGGTTCAAAGGCATATCTATCAGACGTGTTCAGCATTAAATTCCAAAACAAAACCTGTGTTTTCAGAGCAATTGTTGTTACCTCTTTTAAATTCCTCCTGACAATCAGAGATGTACGGCTGGTCAATAATCACAGCACCAGTGGAACTGCCCTCTGCTTCTACTGTTCAGCTACTCTGCTGGATCTGTCACAACAGCTAATTAAAAACAACAACTGTTTTTCCTTCGTTTACAGTCTAAGAACACAGTGGTCAAACTAATGCAGCTAATTTCATTTTGTTTTATGAGTAAGTGCAACAATTCAAAATTTGAATGTTGTTTATTATGATAGAGGAAACAATATGAGAAACAAGACAATAGATAATCCATTTTAAAAGGCTGACTATGAGAAAAATGTGCATCCCTATATAGAGCAAAAAGGCCATGATGAATTTTGCATAATTAATAAATCTAGATGAGGAAAAGACCCAGATTTTAAAAAGAACATCAATATGCCTTTATGTGGTTAGAAAAAGCTGATGAACTGAAACATTAAATTGCAGAAGTACAATTAAGTGGGACTGATAAATACCCAGGGCATCACTGCAGTGTACTACCTATATGAACTGAAACATTAAATTGCAGAAGTACATTTAAGTGGAACTGATAAATACCTGGGGCATCACTGCAGTGTACCACCTATATCTGAGCTTCTGAATTTTTTTTTTGTCACCACCAGTAAAATTTCTGTTTAGACCTGGAGAACAAAAGCTGCCTTATTCCTTTGCTGTTTCAGAGTGAATTTACTGCGTAAGAGAAAGATCTGTTCTGGTTTTCTAAGTTAGGTATTATGGCTTTCCACAAACAGATTAGCTGACCTACTCAGTGAGCATGTGATGGGGAAGAAAACGTGAAAGAGGCCAGAAAACTTTTATCAAGTGTTGACTGAAATAAATATCTATACAATACACTATTTATCAGCATGCCTGCTACATTCATACCTATGTTGGAAATCCCATCTGCAGTCAGGTCAGCTTTCAGGATTACCAGAGATGCTCCTACTGCTGTCATATTCAGTTTTCCATTAGCAGAAAGCTGTGGTTTAATTACCTTTACCAGCAGAACAGTCTTAATGGCTTTGACCATTAGCCTTGACAGTCCACTTGAAGTTATCCTCTTCAGGAATGCGCACAGCTGGTGCACTAGTTTTAACTGTGCAAATGCACTACTGGACACAGCCAAATCTAGGAGCACCCCTAGGCTGCACACCTGGGTTTTTAAGGGGACTATCACCCAATACAGCACAGGCTGCATCCCTGTTCAGCCTTTTGACTGACCAGGAGCACCTCTTTCTTGTCTGGATTACGTTTCAGTTTATTTGTCCTCATCCAGTCTTTTACTGACAGTAGACACTGATCTAGAGCTGAAACAGCTTCCTCAGATTTAGATGGCAAGGAGACATAGAGTTGGAGATAATTTTCCCTGTGAAGTAGTTTAACTGGCAATGACGGTGTAGCATCTATTTTGTCTTGTCTTGTTTTTTTCCTTAGCATGTGGGTTGGCTGGTTGGTTGGCTTGAGCATAATTCATTCTCTTCCTGACTAATCAGAGCATTCTGTTAGATTCAGGCAGAAAAAGACTGAGAAATGTGTACTCTGAGGTGCTTTAGAACTCTTTGTATCTTCTTTTAGATTTCTTCTATTGAGTAGTTTGGATCTTTTAATGATGGTGTTATCATGTTGTGTTACAGGTACACTACAGTGATAGACAAAATGGCAAAGAATGCTTGACCTGTTTGACATTATCTCCTCTGCAAATGACTTTCCATGGTATTGGGAACTCCACTGAAGACAGCCATGACCAGGTATAAACACTTAACTGACTGTTTATTCGTCTCTTCATCTCTAGAGGTTGTGCCTAAGACAGCATTTAGGTATGTCAAACTAGTATTTTAGGTGTCTTCACTCCTACAATGCATGCCTAGATGTTGTTTAAAAGATAGCAGGCAATTCTCACTATTCACTTTCTTGTTCTTCAAAATGAATAATGAAAAGCCAACATTATTTTTTTTATTTTTAAAAGTCATGATTTTTAATGTTTCATTTCATTTCTTTTTATTTCCTATTCATTCCTTATATTTAGTCTGATTTTTTTTTACTGTCATGTAAGCAGAGATACTAGTAGCATTTTCCAACCTCATTATATGTACACGAATGCTGAGCGAAAGTCATTTGTATTTTAGAGCTCTATGACTTGACATCTTATAACACTTTCCTGGTTCTTTGTAGTGGCCTCTGTGAATGCACACAATTGGGTTTCTTCTGCGCCTGCACAGTACGTTCGGAAGATTATAGAGCTTAAAAAGAATAACAATTTAGTCCCCCCCCAGGGCGCGAGCTCCGCCTCCTCAACCTTCCCCTCAGTTCCTTTTTTTTTCGCCATTGGGTTAGGATGTGAGGCACAGTAGAGCTTTGAGGAAAGTGAATATACTAACATTTCTTGACTTTTCTTAACTTTTCTATTGTTTTTCAACCTTTTATTGCTATTAGTTGTCCCCTTACAGATTAGAACCTTCTTTTTCTGTTCTTTTCACTTCCACACACACACACCGGGGTTTTCCCCCCTTTTCTTTACTTATCTCTTCTTTGTCTTATGGCTCCTTGGGGCTTTAAGAGGTGTTCCGTTTGCCTCCATAAGATCCCACTAACGGATGGACACGATAAAGGTCTTTTTTGCCTGGGAGAATCCCATCAAACCCAGTCGTGTGCCGCATGCAGAAGCCTTTCAGAGCCTCTAGGAATATTAATTGTCCTTTAAAACAAGGTGCAATTTGTTTCACCCGGCCTGAAAGGATGGCCATGCTGATGGGGGGGATTCTGAGGCTGGAATCTTCTTCATCAAGGTGTAAGGCAATGTTCCACTGTTATAAATGTGCCAGATATTCTGATCCAGCAATAAGGATTGCGCAAAGCAATTATCTGATTGGTTGCATGGTTCCTTTTTTTGACTAATTGTGCAGTATGCTAACAGAAGTGCTTCATGGATAGCACTTCTGCCTCAGTGCAATTGGAGTTACCACAGGCATAATGTCAAGTTACGCTTGCATAGCTAAGCAAAGGATTTCATCCTGAGGGTTGTAGTTTGAACAAGTATAGCTTCCAAATTCTCATTAGTACTGTTTTTAGATCATTTGAATCTAGCATGATTCCTTGAGTTCTAGTATTCTTTATATTTTGTGCGTTTTTGTCCAAAGACAATCTTCCATGGTCACATGGCCAGTGCGAATTAGACACGGAACACTGTTACCTTCCCACCGAGGTGGTCCCTATTTATCTACTTGCATTTGCATGCTTTCGAACCGATAGGTTGGCGGGAGCTGGGACAAGTGACG